AGGTGTTTTACGGCACAATCGACTCAATTTTGGTCCTGCAAGTGCCAATTACTGGATTATAGTACTCTCTCTTCCTTGTGTATATATCAGATGCAGTCGTTGTTTTGGGGAGGAAAACTATTTTGTTATAGCTGTCGCTGTAAGAGTTGGTTTTGTTATTTTGGGCTTTGGCCCCTTCAAGCTGTTAGTTCCTCATTATAAAGAGGGGGGGGGGGCTGGTGTAAGCGCACCGTTGGACAGGTGGAGTGAACGCACCTTTAGAATAGTCATTGTGACGTAGGCCTAACGGACACCTCACGTGACTTCGGGCCAGGCGCGAAGAAACAAACTACCACTACCCACTAGCTGGAGCCGAGAGAAGCGGCATCGGCTAATCGAGATCTACTAGAACACCAGTAAATGGGGTACCACCAGCATCTCCAAGACTCAACAAGAAAGTCATAACATAACAGGGTGGATGTCAACAGAGATTTCCAAACGGGGAATCACGCTTACTCTTCTCACCTCCCTAGCCCCAACAGTGGAAACAGCACAAAGTCTGCTTCGACTATCAAAGCACCCGAGAAATAGCAGTTCACAAGAGAGTGACAAACATACAAAAGAAGTAGAGGGAAAATGACGAAAGTAAGGATAAGGAAAGAAAAAGCAGCAGTTCCCCCAATATTGTTCTGGCACCGTATGAGCATGACATTGATAAATCAACCCATTTACAATTCCACTGTACATAAGATGTTAGTTTGGTTTTAGTAAGAGTTTTACGGCACGTCCAACACAATAGGCCTAAGGTCATATAAGTGCTGAAGATTAAAGGAGTTACAAAAGAGTAACAAACATAAAACAGAAGGACTAGAGATAAAGACGATAGTTGCTTGATAGGAAAGGAGCAAACCACACCAGATCAGCTACCAACCGCCCACAAGATCTTAAGAACATGTTAATATTCCCCCTTTGGGAATGGCCCAAAGACACTTCAGTTAGCGCAAACAGTTTATTTAATTAAGTAAAAACAGAAACACACCGACACAATAACAGTCATTCAATGCAGGGAGAGAATAAGGCCCACAGACAGAAAGGTAAGGAATGAAATAGGAGTAGGCCCAACAGTGATGCCCTTCAAACACTCGCAGGAAAGCACTTCCCAGAAACACTGATTAACTCCTGGCAGTTTTGCCTATTTTGGCTTTTTCATTTATATTTCAGTTGTCCTCCATGCCCTCCAGCCTCATGCAATAATCTATCTACTCCAGATAGACATATTACATATCAATGGAAAGGGAATTGGATGGTCTTTCAGACTTACCCAATAGATTTCATTTTTTTGTTAAGCTGTCTTGAAGTGGGACCTTTTTTTCTGGTTACTAAAAATAGAAAAAACCCACCAGAAATCACACTTTTCCAACAGTTACAAAGATGGAAAAAAAAGGGTTTGAGAAATTAGAGTTAACAATTATTTCATGGAAAAGTGCATTCAGTTCTGCATATTATGTGTCAAAGATACACCATTCTGTTCGAAAATAAAGAAATGAGAGCCATTCTAATGCATCCTACAATTCCTAGTTATTGCCCTTGAATCTGGAAATTTCATATCATGACTTTTTGCTCTCTCAACTTCCTGCAATAATCTATCAGTTCCAGATAGACTTATCATATGTCAATAGAAAGGGAATTTGATGATCTTTCAGACCTAGTCAAAAGATTTTATATTTGTCAAGCTTTCTTGAGATGTGACATGTTTTTCGTGTTACCGACAATCACGAAGAAGAAAAAAAATATTTTTCAATGTAGTTTACATTTACATTAATTTGATGAGAAAGTACATTCAATTCTGCAAGTAATGTGTAAAAGACACCTCATTCTGTTGAAAAATAAAAAAAATGAGGGCCATTGTTGTGCATTTTACAAATTCTCGGTTATAGCCCTTGAAGCTGGAAATTTCAGAGCGAGAATTTTATAATAAAACCGCCAATTTCAATACCTATTTTATATTTTTTAGTCTATTCAGTCATTTTTATTTGATAAAAATACCTTACAGAATCTTTCTTGATAAAATTCAATGTATTTTATGGGCGAAATACCACATCATCAGCCATCGTATATAATACATCATCTGCCACGACGCGGTGGAATCAGACACTCTTCAATTTTCGGGCATGTGGAGTTATTGGTATTATCTTAAAGGTTATTCATTCGCCCCCAGCTTTTGAGGAAATATGTTCATTTATCTGGAATGAAAGTCACAATTTTGCGATTGAAGGTGGGGTCGCCTGGTTTCAGAATAAAAATTTGCAAGAAAATGGCCGCCAAAGTTTGGTGACTTCCATAGCTTAAGAGTCTTTGGAAACAGCATATTTGATTTTTTTGTGCCCCTAATCAGGGTTTTTCAAAGAAATCCGCACATAAAAGTATTTTTGAACGGACATACAAATTGATGAGTCAAAAAACAAAAATTCGAAAAAATGTCCAAACTGGTCGAAAAAAGCAGATTTCTCGGATTTTAATATTTTGACAAGCGCCTGATTTCACCAAGATGCCTCACATATAGCACTGCATGAACTGCTGGGAGTTAAAGGAAGTTGTGTCATCGGGGACAGCTTCTAAAAATAAGCAGAATACATTAAATATATTTTTTAAAATTACACTAAAAGCAGTCTAAATCTTTAAAGATGAAGCAGGAACATGTGCCTGACCAACAGCAGACTAAGGCAACGTTAAGGCACATTTTAAACCATCATGCACAAATCAAAAGCACGACTTTCCACGTTGAACAGAGGGCAAATTTTTGCTTGCCTTTACAGATCCAGATAAAGAAAGCAGAACAGAAAAATCTATGTGGTAAGCAAAGTATATTGCATCTTTGAGCGCAGTCGAATGATCGTAATGAGTGTCCATAGACCATAGACTACCATAGACTTTCAGACATTATCTGAGCTTTTTTTTAGAAAATGCTGCATTTACAGAGAACAAAAACAAAACCAACACACATTCAAATACACATGAAATTTATTAAAGCAAAGAAAAACACATTGGCACAATAAATAATCGTAATTTATGGCAAGGGACAGACAAAATAAATAAACAGAACAAAACACAGAGTGAAAGACAAAAAGGGGGGCCCGCAAGTGGCAACTTCCAGCCTTCTGCTCAGAGAAGGGTATCAATATCATCTACAACAACGCCCACATCCACAGATGCGCAGACCAACATCCATTGGAAAGAAGTGAATCAACACTGAAACCTAGTTCTAGACCAAGACGGGATGTGATTCTTTGTGTGTCGCTTGTACGTTCAATAGACCTGTAAATGATATCTCTGTATCACTCCTACTGCCAGTACACAGCTAATAGATGTCTCTGTTTCACTCCTATTGACAGTAGGCAGCTAATAGATGTCTTTGAATCACCCCTACTGCCTGTACACAGCTAATAGATGTCTTTGAATCACCCCTGCTGCCTGTACACAGCAAACAGATGTCTTTGAATCACTCCTAAAGCCAGTAGACAGCTAATAGTTGTCTCTGAATTACTCCTAAGCCATTAGACAGCTATGTAATAGATGTCTTTGAATCACTTCTGCCAGCAGACAGCTAATAGATGTCTCTTTATCACTCTTATTTCCAGCAGACAGGTAATAGATGTCTTTGAATAGCTCCTACCGCCAGTACACAGCTCATAAATATCCCTATTGCATCACACTTGCTGCCAGTAGACAGCTAATAATAGATGTCTTAGAATCACTTCTGCCAGCAGACAGCTAATAGATGTCTCTGTATCACTTCTGCCAGCAGACAGCTAATAGATGTCTCTGTATCACTCCTACTGCCAGCAGACAGATAGATGTCTCTGTATCACTCCTACTGCCAGTAGACAGATAAGCGATGTCTCTGTATCACTCCTACTGCCAGTAGACAGTAAGAGATGTCTCTGTATCACTCCTTCTGCCAGCAGACAGATAGATGTCTCTGTATCACTCCTACTGCCAGCAGACAGCTAATAGATGTCTCTGTATCACTTCTTCTGCCAGCAGACAGATAGATGTCTCTGTATCACTCCTACTGCCAGTAGACCGGTAAGCGATGTCTCTGTATCACTCCTACTGCCAGCAGACAGCTGATAGGTGTCTCTGTATCACTTCTACTGCCAGTAGACCAGTAAGCGATGTCTCTGTATCACTCCTACAGCCAGTAGACCAGTAAGCAGTGTCTCTGTATCACTCCTACTGCCAGTAGACCGGTAAGCCATGTCTCTGTATCACTCCTACTGCCAGTAGACCGGTAATCGATGTCTCTGTGTCGTTTGTACGTCCAGCAGACAGGTAAGCAATACCTCTGTGCGTCATCGGTACGGCCAGTTTGGGAGTCCAGTTGTCCGTTTCGTCCAGTCTATAAAGGCTGGGATGCTCCATTAGGCTTGCGTCAGAAATCTGTTGGATTAAAGATGCTTTTAGTAAGAATTTTACGCACTTGGCACACAAATTGGTCATTATTGAGGATTAGACGTTTAACAAGAGAGCAACATAAAAAGAAAAAGGAGAGATAAGGACGACAGGTGTTTGACAGGAAAGAAGGAGCAAACCACACCAGAGAGCCCACAAACCTTGCTCCATCAAATTGGAACTCTCTTCCCCAACCCTTGGGACACACAACATCTGAGTCTAAATTTAAAAAATCTTTAAAGACACATTTAATGACATGATTTTTATATAACTAGATCTAGATTCAGTTTCAGTACAATGTTATGTAAATGACGATATATCCATTTCTGTATTTTGCGAATTGCATTGTGTATTTTATTTTATCATATATAATACATGTGTATGTACTCATTTTGAAACGATGTCTATGTGTGTGTGTTTGGCATGCATGTGTGTGTGCACACGTGTGCGTGAGTGTGCGAAAGTGTGTGTCTATGAGTGTGTGTGTGTGTGTGTGTGTGTGTGTGCGTGTGTGTGTCGCGTGCGTGAATATTGTTCGTACATGCATTTATGTAACACAGGAGTGGGCGCTATAGAAATGATCTTCATTATTATTATTAAACCACGGGCTGGAGTAAAGAGAAGCAAGTCGTCACAACAGCAATTTGTTGGAATAGGGACAAAGTAAGACAGACAGAAACAACAGTGGAAAACAAAAGAAAAATCATCTCCCAAAGATGCCATTAAAACACTAAGCAGTCAAAATATATAACTAAATGACAAAATGAGCCACATGTGGCATTTTGACAATATACAAGTAATACTATTGATATCAGATTAAATGAGAAAATAGTATTAATCTAACTTCTTTAGTTCCAAAGTTAGAGAGACAAAAACAAAACATCTTGGAACAGCTGAGCGAGACAAACAAAGCATTGTCACTACACAAATAGCAGTTGTTACCTACCTATGACAATGAAGCATTTGTTCCCTTGTACCCCTGTCTGGACTAACATCTGGTCCTCTTGCTTGTCATGGGAGTACCTCCAGGACTCCTGAGGGGGCAGACAGTTGAGTAATTAGAGTAAAGAGAAGAACAATGACTCTATAACTGTCATTTTGAGCAGGAAAAAAGCAAATCAGACAGACTGAAACATAAGAAAGAAAGAACAGAAGTAGGGCCAAACACTGGAATCCTCCAACCACATGCAGTAAGTTTAAGTAAAGAGATGCACATCTGTACAGTAATGGCTATTTAGTGTAGGTAAAAAAACCCAGACAGACAGATGGAGAGAATCAGAAGAAGGAAAGTAAAGAAAAACCTACCGGTGGCGCCCTCTTACCACCTACATCTCCCACCTGAGCAGTCAGATTACGATTGTGTGGGTATGTGTGTGTAACTATGGTTCAGGTTCTAGTTTAGTTTTAGCATTTTCACGACACTTACAGCACCTTAAGATAATATAAGTGCTGAAGATAGAGGTGTTACAAGAGAGTAACAAACACAAAAAAGAAAGCAAGGAGATAAGGACAACGACAGATATTTGATAGGAAAGAAGGAGTAAACCACACCAGACCACTTGTCAACCTGTTGAACCACCCATGGTTCAAGTTCAAAGTCCATCTCAACACCAAACATTATTCAGAAACGAAACTTTCAGAACACAATGTCCATCATCAACATAGGATCATGCTAAATGGATAGACAGTCTTACCCCCCCCCCAAAAAAAAAGAAAATCCCAACTGCTCAAACGGAAAAACACTGCAATGAGGATTAGAAACAAGGGTCATTCACTCTATGGCTCAACATTATAACAACTCAGCTGCTAACCACACATCCTTGTCTGTGTGTGAGTATATATGGTTAAAAATATTAACAGACAAATACAGCCCTGCACAGATAAAGTACATATCCTTGATCTATATATGAGAAGTAAACATTCTTGAAAGACAAGGGCAAAGACAGTTACCTTTGTAGGGTTGTTCGTTTGAGAACTTTGCGGATGTCGACCATGGTACCGTCACTGAGAAATAGAAGAAACAACACAATTATTATAAGTTCTTACACAGGGTTTCCATAATGGCTGAATACATTGGCAAAACAAATATTTTCAAGAAATGCAGTATAAATTGTCTTAGACTGCCACCCACTGTCGAAAAGAAGGGAGGTTGACATTTCGCCGCAATTACGTCACATAGTTTACCTGAGGAAAAAAAGAATGGTCGTTTCGCCGCAAATTGAATTCGATTACAACTAGATTTAATTTAGTACGTTGTGGTGTCTTAAGGACAGAATTTAAAAAGCTTGAAGCTCACGTACTTGACGAATTTCTCGATGTTGATTTGCCATTGTACACAGGGCCTGTTAAGGGCTGTTTGCAATTTGCTGTGTTCAGTTTTAACTTTGTTAGTTGCTGATGGTCAATGAATTTTCTTGGGAACAAGAATATGTTTTGGAAGTAGGACTTTAAGCAGGATAGGTTTATATAATGTCATGACAGTGAAGATAAAAATGTGATGTCTCAGATATAAAGTTGTTGAAAAACCCCAAAGCTGTTCAAACTGGGCTGCCATTCTTCACGTGAAAGAGTGGGAATGACCAAGAACGAGACCAGTATTTACAATGAAGGGAGAAAAGGAGAGATTGAGTCATTATAACAGTTTACCCCTCCCGAGTTCTCATTGACACAGTAGGCCTAGGAGCGTTTACAAATTTTGTTTCAGAGGCTTTCACAAATTAATTGATCTTCTATCTTCTGTGTAAGTAACTTGTATTCGAATACGATTTGCGGCGAAACAATTTCCAGACTTTGACAGGTAGTCCCCTTTTGCGTCATTGGCGGAGAAACCTAACGCGCCCGAAAAGAAAAGTGGTTGCCCCAGACAGGTGGACATCATAGAGTAGGAAGTGGTCATTTGTACAGGTGATTGTCTTGTATAGGTGCTCATTAGAGTAAAGGGGTTAAGTGAGCAGTGAGTTCAGACTCAAGTAATGTCAAGCAAGTGTCGGTGACACTGAGTTTAGATGGGTGGTCACTGGGGTGTGTCCTTGAGGAAGACACGACAACCCTAGCTCAATATTCAGGGCTCTGCACAGTGGTGACCAGCGATGTCATGTTTGTGAAATTGTTCTGTATTGATGTAATATTGAGTATTTATGTAAGTATTTGAGCATGCATTTATGTATGCCTGTATTTAAAATTAATGTATTTATGTATACCATGTGTGTAATATGTATGTTTGCCATTGTAAACCAAATAGCCCTTCTCGGATCAATAAAACTGAATTTGTTATTTTTAAAAACATTTTATTAGAGCAGTTTCAGGTGTAAACATAAAATGTTAAGAAAAAAAGTCTGAACAATTTTCAGAAAAATCAGTCTCCAGACAAAGTGCTATTGTGCAAACTCGAGCCATAACAGCAGACAACATTTGAGATTGACAACTTACCCAGAGTTCTCCTTCTCCTTCCGACTCACGTCATCTTCAACGCAGTCACCATGACTCTTGACGACGTGCGATGTTTTCCTCAGCGACACACGCTGTAGCGCTGCCAGAGTGACTACAGGCTGATTGCTGGGCGCAAGCGGCTGAAGACAAAACAGATGGGATTTATGAGCTGCAGAAGAAATTTTCATACGGTAAAACCTTCTCATAAAGATTATTTCAAAAACCCCATTCACCAACTTTGGTGGAAAGTCTACGTTATGCAGACCTGCCGACCCCTTCATGATCAGACCTATGAACTTTCCCCGGAATCCTAAAAAATATTGAGTTTCACAGTGGAATCCTGTTATAACGAGAGGGAGGGGACAGGAGCAAAATGTCCGTTATAGCAGGATTCTCGCTATAAGGGATCCAGTAATAAATTCAAGGGAAACTGTAAAGTAGGCCTAATCTATGAGATTGGTGTTCTGTTTATTTCCTTTTGCTATCTCTCAAATGATGATTTGTGAGGCAGCGTGGTGGAATCAGGCTCTCGTCAAAATAATCAAAGTGAAGAAACTTGCATTTTTCCGCAGGTTTGTGGTTTTTTATTGAATTTTTGTTTTTTGGCTCAACACCTTTCATGCCCATTAAATATCTCATTTCTGTGTGCATTAAAGAACTCATTTCTGTGTGAATTTTTCTGAAAAACGTTGATTAAAGGCACAAAAAATGTAAATGACTAATCTTTGGCAGCCATTTTCTCATTAATTCTACCTCTGAAAACAGATGACCCCACCTCCTTTTTTCCCAAATATCTCGACTTGTATTCAAGATAAATGGATATCTTTTTCATCCAAACAAAGACAAGAGAACAAGCTTTAAGATGATACCAATAACTCTACATGCCTTAAAATTGACGAGAGCCTGATTCCACCACGCTACCTCACATTTTGTTTCAACATGACCTCTAGGTCTTACTTGATCAAAAATTGAATCAGGTTTCTTTTTCTAGCTCTAGGTCTAGCGATGTGGACTGACAGCTCGGCATTGGCGATCAGAAAGAAAGGGCTCTGGGCTAACTCGCCCGCTGTGTTTCCCCCCACCCCACCCCACCCTGTGGGGCTTTTTGTCTGCTTGCGCACGTCACACATTCCCTCCATCCATCACATTGCTGTGACCTCTTCATCCCCGCATCGGAGAAGTGAGAGGCATGGTAGGCCTTGATAACTAAACTAGGCGTACGCTGGCCTATCACGCAATGCGTTCTGCTTGTCTGCGCATGCCTCCCTAATCAGTCGCTCCGGCCTTCATTGGTGACACACATGGGCTCTCCTATTCTTTGTTTCTCAAGATCACAAACAAGTTTCTCAAATGACAAGGTTTTGTAATGGCCTATGCACTGAGCACAGCAGCAGCAATATTCCGCTATAACTGACTCGCATGTTTGATAGCGCTATAGCAGTATTTTATTTACAAAGATAAAGAGGAGAAAAAAACGGGGTTTTAGAATAGTTTCTTTATAACAGACTTCTCGTTTTTTCCGGACTCCTTTTAAGTGGACCCAACTGTATATCAAAAGAAAAACTTCCACATAAACTTAAATCCAACGCAATAAGGCACAAAAGTTCCCATTTGATCTAATGATAATCTCACATGTCTACCAACCTTGGCAGAGAGGTTTCCGTCCTCGTTGATTCTTGACCTCAGGTCGGGGCCGCCTGTCCTCTTGAGCTTCACGCTCCTCAGAGCCTCAACAGTGACCTCAGGCAACAGAGTCCCGCCGACCGCCTGCGACAGAAAAATGAAAAATGATCAATTGATGAGGACCCGACAGACATGTGGCGTATCGTCCATGGCACGGGAGGTGTGCAGCAGACTTGTTTATTTTCGTTTGAGCCAACTGACAAGCTAGACACAGACTTGGAAAAATAGATGACAGGTGACAGGAAAAAAACAGGATAATAATAATACAGTTTAGTGATTTTATCTTTTTAACAGTATCCAATGACTCAGATTCAGAAAAACTTTAAAATCTTTGAGCATTAGAAATCAGTGACCACTGAAGTGTGCAAAAGAACCCCTGCCCCCCCAAAAAAACAACAACAAACAAACCAAAAACTAAAAAATATACCAAAACAGAAGAAAAGATCTATCAAAACTTACAAACAGGTGATGTGAATAAACAAAGGCAATTTGTTTTTTCAAGAACATCCCGCAGAAAAACCGGTGCTGGCTTTTTTTTTTTTATGTAGTTGCTTTTATACTCCCATCGACACAATTCAGATTATTTAAGAGGTGGGCTTTTGACCCTGCCAGTCGGGCCCAACCCAGCCTGAGAGGGATACATCTCAGCAGAAAGATGAAGGTACTTTATAAAAATGTTCTCCCCAATTGAGAATCGATCTCAGATCTCTTGCATGCAACAGCTAAGCACCAAACCATTACACCACAGACAGGTCCAATATCTGTTGCAGATCCGTCACTTGAAGAGAAAAAAAATATTGGCAACAAGCCATAATAACCATTCTACGTGAAATGACCAAAAAACAAAAATGACTTTCACTCACCCTCATTTTCTTCATGACCTGATCCTTTGTCTGAACATCTGTCTTCAATCTTCGAATCACAGGCATAAAATAGGGTGGGGGTGGGGGTGGGGGAGGAGGAGGAGGAGGAGGAGGAGGAGGAGGAGGAGGAGGAGGAGGAGGAGGAGGAGGAGGTGGGGCTGGTGCAGCCGCGCTGGATACGAGCATATCAGGAGGGGCATACTCTTTGCCTCTTGCCTTCTCGCTGACAAAAGACGAAACCTCGGACACCGCTGGCCCGTGAGAATGAGCCTCAGAGTCCGACTTGGAGCTGCTCAACAACCTGAACATGAAAAGGAGAAAAGAAAAGATGTCAGTACACAATTGTCTTTGGATAAGATCCACCACTTACAATCTCAGTTCACTTATGATCCCGCTGTTTCAAGAAAGCAAAATTATAACTACACAAAAGTCAACACTAAAATACTTCTCTGAAGTACCACATTGGCCCACGATCCCGCACTTACCTTGCTCCGAAGCACAGGGATCTGTGGCAGAGACTACTGTATACCACTTTCTTCATTTCCTTTTGTTCTTGTAGTAGTCATTGGGGAAATATGTTGTCACAAATCCAAATGACAGAAAGCAACTAGAAAGTTGTTACAAAGCCCAATAAGGGATCCCCAACGTTATAACATCATATTATGTTAGAAAGAGCAAAATTCCATCAAGTGGGACTGGTTTTGGTACAGTGTAAGAGACAAGGCTTTAAAATTACCAATAGTCGAATCATGGACAGTCCTTGAAAATTCTGGACAGTTGGCAAGCCTGCATAACCAGTACTGATCTATAACAGCAAATGTGCACTACTGGCTAAGTTGATATCATTTTGGACTATGGAACTGATGGCCTTAGTCAAATCCCCAAACAAGACATTCTGAACTTGATTTGGGGTGTTTTGGCTCAGTCTTATAGAAGATGAGTGTTAAACTTAGAAATCCTGCCTCTTAAAAACCTTACAGTGTTGAAAGGGTATTAAACCGACACATTGACAACCCCCCTCCCCACTCCCCCCTCCAACACACCCAAATAGTATGACACACCCTTACACCTTCCTTGACTCCAAACATATCAAGATCTGAAGAGTGGGAAGTAGCTCTGTCTGCCACCTAGGCAAAGCGATGTCATGCATACTGCTTCAATATCGTTTGTCACTGTTTTTTTTTTGGACCCCCCCCCCTTCCCCCCTTTGTTTGCACAAAAAGTAAAAACCTGCCTTAAAAGCAGCCGGCCACAACCATTTTGCGGGCCCTTCCCCGGGGGGGGGCCAACCCTGAAGACCTGGGCCCTGGCCTCCCCCTTTCCCCTTGGAACCCAATGGGGGGGGGGGGGGGGGGGGGGGAATGATAAACCATTCAAACACAAGTGATATGCTAAATCCCAGTAATTAGACTACCAAATACTTAACCAAAGCATCCATCTAGACAAAGTTTACATTTTCTTTCCTGCACAACTAGCCACAGTTACATAAGTCTACCATTGTTAACAAGTCTACTTTCTCTCCTTCACATTGACAAATTGATATTTCTTGCATTCTTGATATTTCGTACCCACATTAAGTTCACATTGGCATCACATACCTGGTTAGTTTTAGCAGCTTTTAACTCAGCCTCCAATTCAGCAATCCTAGCAGACAATCTGTCAGATGTCGTCAAGCCAGACAATAATCCTCTTGCTGCTGTTTTACTCTAAAATGAAAAATAGTGAGAAAAAAAAAGAAAAAAAAAAGAAAAATCAAATTCAATTTTCAAGTTCATGCTGAGTCATAATGCAAAAGTATAAAATCTCATGGTCCACTTAACATAATATAACCCCCCCCCCCCCCCCCCCCTTCTGGTTTGAGAAAGAGAACATATATTACTTTTTAACCTATTTGATACGGTTTGATGCAACTGGGATGACACTGGCCAGGGCACACTACATTAACTTGACTTCTACTTCTACACTTTGCATTCTGGTCCGTGTGCGCAAACAAAAGATCTGACCATGTAATAGGCCTACTTAATAGCCTTCTGATTGATTGTTTTCATCCCCCATATAAAATCGTGATATACAAAATCGAAAAAAATTTATTTTGGAGGATGATACTCATTGTACATTGCCAATTTGATTCTGTCTAGGTCAGCCAGATTTCCCTTCATGGATGGAGCAAAAGTTACCTTTTTGGCACAAAACAATTGAATATTCAATTAAATTAAACAGATTTTCGTAATCAAACACATGAATTTTTCAAAATCGCAAGTCGAATCATTTGTGTGTTGTGTCAAAATAGTAGCTCTTTCCCCCCATGAAGGAAAATCTGGCTTACCCTGATGGAATTAAATAAGAGAGTATATATATTCAAATTGTGCCTTTTTGTTCCTACATAAAAAAGGAAAACCTGGCAGCCATAAAAAAATAATCAAATAGAGATTTGATGAAACTTTCTACAATGTGCTCTGTATATTAGAATCTCACCTCTCCGAGTTTCTCTATACACTGTACACTAGTATCTAAACACGTTCTTGTTTCACTTTAGCTGAGATAGCATCCTCTGATGGAGGGCGAGACTGTTGCTGAAATCAGAGTTTACTTTACAATTTACAGACATGAAAGCTAACTCCTCATCTCCAGTCAGAGCCGTTGCACCAGTGAAACGCTGGCAGCAACCTGATCACATTTTTAACCATGACAAGTTTAAGCCACAAATATCGATTTTCGACATTACTGAAAACAGGTCCCTTTTAAGCGCATAGAGCTACTTTTTGGGGGGAAATGTGCTATAACATAAATATAAAATATTATTATTTATTATTTTTATTTTTATTAGGAGTTCTCGGGTGAATGAAAGAATAATCAAAATAGGTACACAAAAAAAACTCTCATGTAGCCAGTGTTAAGAAAAGAACACACTGTTTTATCTTTCCTTCATCAGCAGAGTCAATGAATGAAAAGTGAAAATAAACTTCTTTGGATGTTAGTCATTTAGTCATGAAGCACAAGTATGACTTAAGCACTGCATTCTCTTTTTCAAGAATGAAGATAAAAATGAAAAGAGGTAAACACTTAGGGATACAAAAATCTAGATTAATATGATGACATTTTCATCCTACAAAGCAAATATAAATCCTTACCATGTTGAATGCATCAAGCATCCATCCCGTCACATAATCCATTGCTGTAGATCAGACAGAGTTGGCAAATCAACTGTGAGAAAATCTGGGGAGAAATGGAGAAATGTTTAAAGAAGCTGCAGTTACAGAGAAATAAGAACCAAGACCCAAGAACCCACACACTAGCGATGATAAGGCCGAAACAGTGGCAAAGATTTGCACTCAAGTTCAAGACCCAACTCCCCCTATTGCAAGTTGGAAGAAAAGAATTGAAAAAGATGAAAACATCACTATTTTATACTTAAATTTCATTCTCAAGACCCAAGTTGCTTTGATATTTAAAAATAAACAGCTAATTAAGTTTAAGTCACAAATTTCCTGAATGTTGATGTTGAAATACAGAAATATGTGTACAAATAACTAACTGAATTACAGGGCTAGTTGGGAACCAGAAACATGAACATGTATTCCGAACAGTGAGCTCCAACTTCACTTGGCACTACACTACCACTATACTACCAGTCAGTGCAAAAACAAACTACAGACCGCTTAGCCTACTGCTCTAAAACTAATAATAATTGGGTCTCGGTGACAGTGTCAGTGCTGCAGTCATCTTTTAAAGTAGTACATATTGTACTTGTGGAATGGTGTGTACGTCTCTGCATTCATTGAACATGAGAAGGTATACTCCGAAGCATGACAGTGTTTTTGGGATTGTAAAGGATACAGCCTTTATCAGCAGACCTCCAAAAGCAGGCTGCCACAAAGTCATGAATTCTCAGCAAATGCTGTAGGCCTACTTATGATAAGAAAATTGAAAACCAAAAATAAAGAATTTGTTTACATACTGTATTTTTCAAATTTTTAACATGGTATAGGAACTGGACAATGAAACTTGGCTTGGGATCAAAACATTACTTTAAGCAGAATAGCAAGCTTATTTATTGAAGAAAAGTCCAAGAAGCAACGTCCGAAAGCTAAAAGAAAAAGAAGAATCTGACAGTTTTGAAACATTTGCAGCAGTCTACAAGTAAGACAGAAAAGCCTCTATTTTGCTGCTCTCTGTAATTTGAGTAGAGTATTTCTGCATACATTCCTTAAAAGTCCTTTGGAAGTCCAAGAAGAGGATGAAGTAGTGTTGTGGCTAAACAACAGAGGTGGACAAAAATATAAGAGCTGAATATTGTTTTCGATGCCTGTTGTTTTATTGAACAGTTGATGCAAGTCAGGCAAATAAAATAATCATGCTGAAATTCTTCCAGCCGGGAAAAACCTTTTAGTCGGCCAACGCTTACCATTTAACGATCAAAAGGAAAATGGAAAGGCTGTAAAAACTATAAAAATTTAATTAATTTGGCTTGCACACAACACTTCTGTGATGTGAAGTCTGGCATGCGCTATCATGTGCTAAACATGTTAACGTAAATTTTTACTTCTAGACCAGCACGCAGATATGCACTACATAATATTGGCTATGGAACACACATCGGCAATTAAAAACCCTCACATTATTTCCTCACCTTCTGAACCTTGACATTCGTTTGTAAACTATATTTCTGATTGATTTTTATCGAAATACGTTGATCATCCGATTAAATAAACACTGGGGAGGCTTTCAGCTGTCTTTGTTTACAAAATGCCAATTAAACTTCCCGGCATGGCTGCTGGTTGCCAGGAAAACTTTTTTAACGCATGTACCGAGTAAAGGTTGTTTTTTTTTCCTGAAAAGAATTGCTGCCATACTTTCAGTTGCCTCCGAGGAAGCCTACGCAGAGAACCTTGAGCCGATTTAATACAAGGTTGTTTTTCTCCCATTTTTGAATTTGTATATATATTTTTAGTATGAAAATCAATAAAGATTCCGACGCCACCCACGATTCATGTAAAGGAATCGGGGTTCAGTGTGCCCACTTCGGGGCGCTGAGCGGCCAATCCGGTATAAGGCGAAGAACCAACGCGTCCCTCGCAACGAACTGTAGGCTTTCATATAATCATAGAGCGTGAAGAGAAGTGTGATGCACTCAGTCATGATTTTTTTTCTTCTGTTGTTTAATCATGTATGCCTACGCAATTATTAGTCAGCACCTGCTGATTTTGGAAAACGTATGGCACGTAGGCCACAAATGAACGATAGACAGATAGAGTGTGTGTGTGTGTGTGTGTGTGTGTGTGTGTGTGTGTGTGTGTGTGTGTGTGTGTGTGTGTGTGTGTGTGTGTGTGAGAGAGAGAGAGAGAGAGAGAGAGAGAGAGAGGGGGGGTGCATGAGTTACTGAGTTTGTATATATAAAAGACACTTTTGTGCCTCACAAAATGGCTTAGATCTAGTTTTTACACAATATTGATTAGATACTACTTCTACTGATGCAGAAAGAGGATTAAATTGTCTTTAATATATTTTTTTTTACAAAAACAGATTTGGCTCAACTAGATCTACCTAGATTAAGTTTCCTTTTGATAGAAACTTCAATATTTTAACCCCAAAGTTTCCTTTTGATAGAAACTTCAATATTTTAACCCCTCCCCAAGATCAGAGTATTTGATTTACAGAAGCGTATAAAAAGGTGAACACCACGTGTTCTTTTCCGTTATGATAGACTCGGAAGAAGTTGAAGCTTTGAATGCACAAGTCAATAATTACATGTATTAAATATCAACTGAACGCATATCTTTAAAAATGTCTTTCTCACCTTCTGAATCTTGATTGATACACTCGTTTGTAGTTTATAGAATCAACTTAATCAAAAAAGTTGACCATCTACACACCCTACAAGCTTAGGCTGCACTTTGATAATTGATTGAACTTTCCTTGTTTGTTTACGAAATGACAATCAAACTTCGCGGCATGACTGCTGGTTGCCAGGTAAACTTATTTAAAGCATGCAATATTTAATCTATGGGTCAAATCAGAGAGAATTTAATTATATTTAAGAGTCTCTGGTCAAATAGTATAAGTACCGGTCTCTGCGCAGTGGGCAGCAACGTGTGCCGGATAGAAATCCCTATCTCACAGCCGCACTATGGTCAAACTGTGCCGCGCACTGCTAGACTCGCGCACTGATAGCTATAATAGGTCAATAATGCTTATTTGGCCTATATATATGTCTAATGGTCCAATCAGATGCTTCCACTGTAAATGGTGTAGCTAGCTTGTTTTCCATTGCGGGTTAAAATTAAGTACCAAGCAAACATATTATTATCTTGTTGGGACAAGATCAAACAGTCCAGGAGTCTAGGTATCTACATTTCGTGTTTCCATTAATTAGCACCTCGATATAAGCTTTAGCTCAATTAGAGGGATTTTATGTTTTGTAACCCATTATTGATATTATTACTATTGTCTAGATCTAGATCTAGACGTAGATCTATAGATATCTAGCGGTTCCTGGGTTGTTGTTTTCTTTTTATGAAATCAGTATTCGACTAACAACAACAATAAGAGGAGTCTTTATCAGAATTTGAGTACCTCACCACCCTTTTGAATCTGTTTAAAGACCTACTACCCTTTGATCAAATCCAATGCATCAAGTGCATGTGTGCAGTCAAAATAAGAATGTCATTGAATTAGGAAGACATATAAGATAAATCGGAAATCGAAATTGACCCACAGGGGCATATAAAATTCCCTTACAACATGTATTATTTGTCACAAAATTACGAGTTATCTCCCCTGAGTTTGCCCCCCCCCAAAAAAAAAAAAAATTATTATTTTTAAATCCACAAATGATAAAAATGAAAATACAACAGCAAAATCTAATAGCCGTAATCTTATTATTTCTTAATAATCTTAATAATAACATATATTTTACACCAGTGACATGACATTTTAAGTTTTCAGTTAGGATGAAAGTAAGTCAATTTCTACTATAATATTAAGGAAGTATAGATCTCTATCTAGAATGACTCCCAAACCAACAAAAAGATGACTAAAACGCACTTGTGTTATTAAGGATACAGAATGCTAAAAGTAATAGCCGTAATCTTATTATTTCTTAATAATCTTAATAATAACAAAACTATTAAAGCTAGAGAATGCCTCGGGAAAACATTAACAAGAAGGGATAAAGTGAGAAAAGATAAAAGAGAACAAGTTGGGACAACACCATGTTATGAAATACATTGAAAAACAACGCATTAAATGGCTCACGTGGGCCAATAGGCCTCAGCTTATTTGCCCATGTGGGCCAATAAGAGCAGCCAAAATAAATAACGCATGGATGGTACAGGTATATAGATCTAGTAATCAGCAATCATTTATATCAATATCGATCAAACGCGCAGAGCTTCCGTACTTTTGTTTTTTACCGAAAGTACCGGCTCTCATGATAACTAATGTGCGATGACGTCCATTCCCACTTTGTCCTCGTCCTCCCCAAAGAGGCCATAAATAGTACTAGAGCTCACAGCTATGACGTCACCCACGTAAGCGAACGGTGGCTGCGTGCGTTTGCCCAAAGGACCTTACTGTAGGCCTAGATCTAGATCTAGAATCTAAAACCTCGACTTGGTTTGCCCACACCAGAGAGCAGCACATTATGTAACACTGTATAACATGAATAAGGGCGGCCATATTGCCGATGAGGCAACAATCAGGGCCATTATCACGTGCGTCCTTCGCGACCCCTCTATGGGTCTTCACAGAGTGAATCGTTGAGCTCACAGAGAGTAATTAGTGATGTCTGTTTTTAAAATGTTGTTGTTTAGTCCTGTAACGTACATTACCGCACCTACTGACTGATCTTGGGAAACAAGTGTACTTAAACGTGGACTTTAAATGACGACAGACAAAGAGATTAGTATCAAGCAATATTGTTTGTTTTTAGCGGGCGGAGGGAGAGGACAAAGTAAGCGACTGGGTTTGTTAATAAAAATGACACGTTTATACTTTAGAAAATGGGTTGCTTTTACGCAAAGCAGTTGGCTGCACTCTCCTCCTTCTGTACAGCTAATGAAAGTGTTTTAAAAA